TTCATTTTGCCATGAAACACATCATTAAGTGTTTCAAAATAATACCTTCCCCCAAACTGGCTATGAATTATGGAGGCTTTTTTTTCAGGAACTGGAGTGGAAAAGGGAAGAACATATTTATGCTGAAAGATAAGTGTTGAGGAGATCTCTATTGTAAATATTTAATGACTATCAATAGGGTTTTCTTAACCATGGAAATGTGCATTACGAAACCCAGAATGCACAGTATATGCCTGTGTGGGGGTGGCTGGGTGGGTTGGGTTGGGGCGTGGGATAAACAATTGAATTGGGCTTGTCAGAGAAAGAAAAAGCTTTGAGGTAAAGTGTAAGGTAGAGCCCCAGAAGACAGCAGTTGACCAGGGAAAGACAAAATAGAGAAAAAGCCTCTCCCACCCCCCATGATAGTCAACCCAAAGCTAGAAATGTAGCCATTACCAAAGCCATGTTGCGGGCCAAAGAAGACAAAAGAAATCTCTGAGTGGATTTTATTTCTTAAGAGACCACAAAAGCACCCACGAATGGAGGGAAGAAGGTAAGAAGAACCATAATCCCACAAATGAGCAGAGGGGAAGAGCACCAAGTCCTGGGGAGGCCAAGGTGGGACAACTGATGTGGAACTTAGATCTGTTTAAAGTTAATAACGTGAAGTTAATTATGCTTGTGCACAGAAGGTAGAGTTCATTATATACTCAATCTCACCCTGTAACATGAATTATGGTGGATACGGCAAGAAAAAGGAGGTGGTTAGTCAAAGTTGAGTAAGGTAAGCAGGTGCGGGTAAGGCAACCATTCTTCCTTGGGGTGGTGGCTGAATAAAGAAAGTTCCGCCATATAGCAGGAGCCAGCCACTCTGCCATCTGACGGGTTTATACAGTCACAGACTAAGGCACATCCGTTTCACAATTGCTTACAACATGGTTTGCCACTAGCAGGCGCTATTTAGACTACCTACCCTAAGGGGTCAATCGTTGCCTGAATTTCACTGGCCCTGACCGTGGGCACTCAAGCAGGGTTCTAGAGCTGCCTCCTCTCCTCACCATCTTCCTTCCCAATCTGGCCTCACTGTCCATAACCACAACCTCACTGCCAGTTGCTGACTGCTTTCTGGTTCTTTCTGCCTTCCGGATCGATGGGTCTTTCTCCACTGGTTTCTCTCATTTCAGATGCACTCTACGCTTTCTTTGAGAATGGCCCAGTTCAGCTCTGTGTTCACTCACACTAGGTTATGATGCTCTCGACTGTCCCTCCCTTAGAAATGTGAACTCCCTTCGGGCAGGCCTCATGGCTGTCTGTTCCATTCCATATCCCCAAAGCTTAGAACCTTACTCGTTCATACCGGCCCTCCCCAAAGAGGTATTTGCTAATGAATAAGGCAGCAATGAGTGATACATGAATTAGTCATGAGTGATACACGACTGAATGGGGTTAGAAGTCAAAGACATCGTCTCCGTTTCTCGCGATTCAAAAACTGTGCTGTCGCTCCGCACTGGCAGAGCCCCGAGGCACCCCACAGGCCCTGGGGGGACCGTACGAATGGAGTTTGCAATGGCGATTTGGCCTGGCCTTGCAGATAGGTTTTCTACGTGACTGCAAACATGGTGTGGTTATGGAGACCATCAAAAATGGCGGGACCACAGGGGTGAGGCTATGGCACAGTTACATGTGGTTAAACATCCCCCCGCTCATCTGCCTCCCTAGAGACAGCCATTCTGGTAAGCCCTTGGCGATCAACAGGCCTGCACTTGTGCACACCGGCAGAAGAACTGTTTCCTCCTCTCTGTTTGAGTCCCTGTTGATTCTGTAGTTTAGGAGGAACGGGAGCGCTGTCCAAATACCAAACGCTCCATATGTTTACCTAATTGCCGTTCTCACCACCGTGAACGTGCAGCCGTCCTACCTACACTCATGAAGCGCCTCCCTGGAGTCTGGCAGGACATTATGAATTCTTTTCCTGACCTATATTTACCGACACAATTGTTGTCCTCTCTCCCTTTGCGAACTTACTAATTTTGTCGAGATGCCATATGTCTGTGTATAAATGCAAGTTTAACTCTCTTCTTCACTCTTATCATCATTTATGGGAGGAGAATTTGTGAGCCATTAAAGAGGACTTCTTAAGCTAGACTCTCCTTATTCGGAATTCAGATGGTCCTCCTTCTATTGAAAACGACAGAGCTGCTCAAATTAAGACTGCCCACGTGGGCCAAAGCAAAGGTGATGTCTGCACACACAGGAGCCGCAAGGATAGGCGGTGAAACGTATTCGCCGAAGCCAGTCAAGTTGCCTGGCGTCTGTCTCCTTCACGCCAAATAATCCTTGGCCTCTTTTTACTTCTATGTTTCAACTGTCTGATGCACCTCAAGGATGGAGGGGTCTCACGACTCAACGGTTTTCCCTCCTGTGTTTACGCGGGATGAAGCGTAGGTTTCCTGAGAGCTGGTGGTCTCTCGTTCTACCCCCTCTTTCATTGAATTAGGGAAAGGAAGCTTATTTAAAGGGGGAAAGAGATGAGGCTGGGAGGTCGTGCACGGAGCCAGACAGTTGGAGACTCTCCATGTGCAGCTCAAAGGGGCCAGGAAGCCTGCTGGACGCGAGGTGCTCGCTATAGCTCAGAAGCAAGGCAACCGGCAGCTGGGAGAAGGTTCTGGTCTCACGCAAGTGCTGTTCCTTTTTTTTTTTTTTAAGTATAATTTATTGTCAGATTGGTTTCCCTACAGCAGCACCCAGTGCTCCTCCCAACAGGTGCCCTCCTCAACGCCCATCACCCATTTCCCCCTCTCCCCCACTCCCTATCAACCCTCAGTTTGTTCTCGGTCCTTATGAGTCTCTTATGGTTTGCCTCCCTCCCTCTCTAACTTTTTTTTCCCCTTCCCTTCCCCCATGGTCTTCTGTTAAGTTTCTCAGGATCCACATATGAATGAAAACATACAGTATGTCTTTCTCTACCTGACTTCTTTCGCTTAGCATAATACCCTCCAGTTCCATCCACGTTGCTGCAAATGGCCAGATTTCATTCTTTCTCATACGCAAGGGCTGTTCCAAGGGTCCCACTGGCCAGGTGACATGGATGGATGTCACAGCTCCGTGGTAAATGGGTCTCTGGCTTACAGCTTTCGGTCAATTCCTCCGAGACTGGGATTACCCCATTAATTCAAATTAAGGCCATTCAGAAATATACTAAAGTTTTTTGGGGGCAGGGAGGATATCAGAGAAGGATGAAAAGAAAGAGGAAAAAAAAAACAATAATTTTATAAGCCTGGATGACACTATTGGTTAAGTGTCATATTTTGCTCTCTTTTTACTTCTACCATGACCATTTTCTGCTATCATTAAATATTGTTTTCTAACAGGCTTTTTTAAGTTTACGTTTTTATTTTGAGAGAGAGAGAGAGCATGAGTTGGGGAGGGGCAGAGAGAGAGAGGAAGAGAGAGAATCCCAAGTAGGCTCCATGCTGTCAGCACAGAGCCGACCTGGGCTCAATCTCATGAACCGCGAGGTCATGACCTGAGCTGAAATCAAGAGTCAGATACTTAGCCGACTGAGCCACCCAGGAGCCCCTTGAAACAGGATTTTTAACCATTTTCAACATTTCACATATATTTTGTTGCAACACCACCCTCTGGCATGGGTGCTATCGTTATCTACATTTTATAACCTTAGACACTCGAGATGTAAGGTAACTTGCTCAACGTTACACCTCAACAAAATAGCAAAGCTGGACTATGAACCCAAGCAGTCTGGAGCCTACATACGGTCTTTTCTACCATGATCTACAACCTCTGAATCATATGGAGCTAGCATAATTATATTCAGTCATGCTCCCAATGTTGGACATGTGTGTGTATTTAATTTGAGTCTAATTTCTGATCCATGTTTAATGTGGACCATTCATTAGTTTTTCTCAAGAATGGAAAAACGAAGTTTCCCATTGAAACAGTATTGTTCTCCAGTGATATCATGGCTGTTGAAAACTATTTGGCCAAAGAGAAGAGGAAAACTTAAAATTCCGTATGACCCTTCCATGCCGTCTTGATTTAAGCATTATTTCTCAACTGTCAAAAACCGGTAAGTTTTAAACATGCTGCTGTCCACGGGAGAAAAGTTCTTCAAAATAGTATGACTTACAAATTTACAAATCAATGCCTCCCTACAAAAAAAAAAAAAAATAACAACACATGGAAATACCATTTCTCATCATCATTTGGCAAGACTCTCTGTTTTCAACATTTTCAGCACTGGCAAAGTTGTATGGAAACAGGTACTTTCATATGCTGCCTCTGGAAATATAAACTGGTATGATTTTATTGGAAAGTCATTTGGCAACACGTATCGAAAGGTCTTAATACTTGGAACACTTTTAAGCTCTGAAATTTACTGGTAAGGGAGTATCCTAAGGAAGCCACTAGGAATGGCAACGAATATAAAGCTATAAGAACATTCTTGGTCGCATAAGAGCCGAAAAAGAAAACCATAAACCCTAAATGTCCAGTGACCAATTAGATATATTTTAGGATATGTATTCAACGGTACACGATATAATATTATAATACTATATAAACGCTAAAAATCGTGCTGTAGATATATATCTGTTGGTATGAAAAGACGTGCATTATTCCACTTTTAAGAGGAACAGAAAGGTTAGGTAACAGCACATACTGTAGTGTTCCTGACTACCATCCAATGGTAGTCTCTTTAGCTGAATTTATGCACACCATCATCAGAAATACCTCTTTCTTACCAGTGCCTTACCATCCATCCTAATCAGTGATCTCAAAATAATTAGAAGCTGTTTTCTCTCCCACAAAAGAGCGAGGGTTCCGTTTTTGTAAGACACAGAAAGAGTCAACAGGTGGCGACTATGTGAATCTACAGAGATTTTACATTCACATGGTGTGTTTCCGTGTCCCTGAGAACAGACAGCCAGACCTCCCCACCACCATCTTGGGGGCCTGACAATTAAGCGATAGTTACTACAGGGGACGGATTGTGGAGGTTTTACCTGTAACATGTGCTTTCATCACAATGGAGAAACATAAGCAGTCAGTTCTTTCCCAGCAGATCTTTCTGCGCAGATTCTGCCTGAGTAGCAACAGTGGCAGTAGAGAAAGTCACTGGAAAATGCCTAGACCTGTAATTATAAACACAATTTCCCACTGAGTTAGGCAGCTCTCTGTGTCCTTCATTCACAACAGATGAAGTCACAGAAAAGAGAAACACAGGTGCACCATCTCTCCCCCCGCCCCCCCCACACACCTCTTATGGCAAAATGTCAAAAACTCAGCAAGCAGACCCATAGTAGGTCCGCACCTCCAGGGATGAGAGGATTCCGGCCAGGGGTTGTCACCCAGCACCCCATCTTCTAACCTCGGGGATGTCACCATCAAGATGATGTGGCTCCTTCCCTTCCTTCCCTGACTAATGATTCCAAAACTTCAGAGAAATTAAAAAACAAAAAAATAGTTCTCCAGAAAATGTCAGAACCATGACTGAGTTGGATGGTTCCCTAAGATTCCTTCCAGACACAAAGTGAAGCGAATTCAGTACCTGTTTTCACCGTAAGAGCCTGACTTCCACTTTTGCAAGGAGAAGTGTCTCTCTGTTGATGATTCAGGGGCCGCACGGTAGTGGTGATAAAATTCAAAGTCATCGCTAACATTCATTGAACACTCCCCAAGTTCGTGGCGTTATGCACACTACCCCACTCTATGGCACCCTTCCAAGTGGCCACCAATCATTATTATCTCTGTTATTGACAAGCAACCTGACGGTTTGTGCAGCTAGTAGATATTACAGCTAGGATTTAAGCCACTGGTGTTCACAAAAGCCATGCTTATGATTACAGTGCTATACCATATCTCCAAAACTGATCTTGCTATCAACATTCCTGTGTTTATCACAAAAAAATTGAATATCAAATCATCACCCTATTTTCCCCAGAGCTGGTATGTTATGTAGGTCTCAGCATCACTAACTCTTCTTGGACGTGGCTGCCCCATCCATTCTAACTCCCAAGATAAATTGAAATCAACATGTTCCTATTTCAATCAAGAGCAAATGTATAGTTATTTCGGTAAATTAAAAATGCCATCTAATCCCAAATCCAGATGCTGAACCACAAAGGAAAAACCTAAAATCCAAAGTCCTCCCTAAACTGGCTACGTTTTATTGGAAAGAAGACAGATTAATAAAAGCTGTCTCAGATTAATTAAAATCTCAGATTAATAAAATCAAGAGCCATATGTGAATCCCTAATTTAAGACATGGAAGACGGGGCGCCTGGGTGGCTCAGTCGGTTAAGCGTCCGACTGCAACTCAGGTCATGATCTCATGGTCTGTGAGTACCAGCCCCGCGTTGGGCTCTGTGCCGACAGCCCGGAGCCTGGAGCCTGCTTGGGATTCTGTGTCTCCCTCTCTCTCTGCCCCTCCCACATTCATGCTCTCTCTCTCTCTCAAAAACAAAAACAATCTTCAAGTCATGGAAGTAAAGAGACAAATTTCTATACATTATAATATGCCTATGGGTTGGTTTAAAAAAAATACTTAAAACATTTTTAGCTACTTACAGATTCTATCTACTACAAGTTTTAAAATCATTGCAACACAGAATAGATGGGAGCATATCAAGAAAGCAGCAAAGTTATTTATGGGTCCTACGTGAATTTCCCTTTTGGACATGTGTAGATATACACACAGGTTTTATTTGCACTATTCTGGTTATGCCTCTGTGCTTCGTGCATGCCGCTACCTTTGCTTAGCAAAGGCCATTTGCCGACTAGAAAATGCCAACTCATTCTTCAAGACCAACTTCAAACCTCCATTTCTTGTGATGCCCACTCCCCCCAGCCTGTTTTCTGGAAATCCAAGCAACAGATTCTACCCTCTCCTATTTTCTTAGCTCAGCAATGGGCTACATCTTCCTCTCCCAAATGATGCCCCATAAGCAACTACCCAGTCATGGATTCTACCATCAACACACACCCTCCTGCCTCTCCCCCATACCACCATCGCTGTTCTAGGCCACCAACCAGCACAGCTCATCGGGACTATTGCACTGGTCTCCCTGCCCCTACTCCTGCCACCCACCCTGCAGCCCATTCTCCTGCCTAAAGCAAGGCAGTGGCTTTCCACTGAGCCAGATTCTTAGTGTGGCCTCCAGGGCCCAGTATGGTCCAGTCCTCGTGTTCCAGCCTGCACTCCAGCTTTTCCAGCTTACTTTTATTTTTTTTTTATTTATTTTTTTTAATTTTTTTTTCAACGTTTATTTATTTTTGGGACAGAGAGACACAGAGCATGAACGGGGGAGGGGCAGAGAGAGAGAGAGACACAGAATCAGAAACAGGCTCCAGGCTCTGAGCCATCAGCCCAGAGCCTGACGCAGGGCTCGAACTCCCGGACCGCGAGATCGTGACCTGGCTGAAGTCGGACGTTTAACCGACTGCGCCACCCAGGCGCCCCTCCAGCTTACTTTTAATTCTCTAAAAGCACTTTGCTCTCCTAGGCCTCAGGGCCTTTGCACATGACCTCCTCTTTTCTCCAAGTCACCCTCTTCAGATCACCTTGTATTCTTTTCCCCTTCAGATCTCAGCTCAGCCCTCCTCCTCGTGGAGAAGCCTTTCTGGCCTCCATGGCCAGGTCACTACCTCCTACCACACGCTTTGACAGAAGCACTGTCCCTTTATATACCAGTCAGCTGGGTTTTTTTAAGTTTATTTTATTTATTTTGAGAGAGGGAGAGAGAGAGAGTGTGTGAGCAGGAGAGGGGCAGAGAGAGAAGGAGCGAGAGAAAATCCTAAGCAGGCTCCGCGATGTCAGCACAGAGCTTGAACCCACGAACCATGAGATCGTGACCTGAGCCGAAATCACGAGTCGAGCTCAACTCCAACTGAGTCACCCACGTGCTCCTATATGTCACCTTTATAATTTTACTTTTTTTTTTCTAGATTTGTTGATTATTGCTTGTTTCTCCTACCTACTAGTAAGCTCTAGGAAAGGAAAACTGTGTACACTCTTGTCTATCCTTTTATCCTCTGTATTCAACACATGCTTGGCACATTATAGACACTCAGTAGAAATCTGCTGAATGAATAAATGAGAAAAGGAAGGAGGAAGGGAGACAAAAAGAACATCCCCTTAATAGTGTTTGCTGAATTAATTTGCTGATGGCATTTCAAGACACAGAATGGAAGGCCTGCCTTCCTTTGGACAGCATGCCAGGCTCCTTGTGATCCTCCCCGGCCAGCCGTGTCACACCTCCAGTCACCCTGGCCACTCAGCACTTCTGAACCCTTGTGGCCTCCTGACCTGACCAGCCCTGCCTTGCTCCTGGCTCCTGCCCACACCCTGGTCCCATCTGTCCCCTCTGCACATCATCTTTCTAAACTCATTCTTCAGGTCTCAGAGACAGGACTCCTTTCTGTGAAGACCTCTCTAATACTTTGGGAAGCCGGTGCCCTCTTTCCCCATTTTTCTGCAACACGCTGGCCCTTTCCCTATCAAGGCAATGGTCACATTTCCTTGTACTTGTATCTTAAATGAGTACACTTCTCCCAATACACTGAAAGTCCCTTAAAGGTAAGGGAGGGGTGTTACCTCATCAACCATCTCCAGAGATTAGCACAGCAGCCTATAACACACAGTCTATAAATCAATATTTGTTGAATGAACAAACACACACACACACACACACACACACACACACACAGATATCTATTATATACGCGTACAAATTTCATATGTGTAAAGCTTCAGAGTTGAATATTTGAAATATATTATTATTATTATCATTATTATTTTAAGGTTTATTTATTTTTGAGAGATAGAGAGAGACAGAGCATGAACAGGGGAGGGGCCAAGAGAGGTGGAGTCAGAATCTCAAGCAGACTCCAGGCTCTGAGCTGTCAGCACAGAGCCCGATGAGGGGCTCGAACTTGCAAATCAGATCATGACTCACGAGATCGTGATCTGAGCCGAAGTTGGATGCTTAACTGACTGAGCCACCCAGGCACCCCTGAAATACATTATTAATATAGTACATTTTAATTATTATTCAATGCCGTGAGACACAATGGTTATCACTTCATCTGTAAAGTGGACATAGGGACACACTCCTGTAACTGAGCAGTTGGGGCAAGTGAATGGAGTAAGTAAAAAGTTTAGCACAGAGCTCAGCATTCTAGAAGCACTCTATAAATATTAATTGCATAATCATTATCACTATCAACATCATCATCAGGGCAACCAAGTTGAATTTACAATCCATGCTTCAAAAGTTAATAGTTTTATTGGCCAACGTTTTGTCCTATTAAAACATTAATTAGCATTAGCATCTCGGCAAGACCATAAAAGTGGCTAAAATTTGCATCTAGCAAGCTAAGGGAAAGGAAGAGTCTTACTATCGCTGAAGGACAAATTATTGTTTTAGTAATCGTCCATGTATGTGTAAGTTACAAAAGCATCAACAGAAAAGAAGTCTTTCTGTACAAAACCCATCTATAAAATCTAAATGATAGAAACAAATATTATCATTCAAATGCTATAAACATTTAGCTGAAATAATTAGAATTGCTTACTGTAAATGATTTCTTTTGCTAAAAAAAAAAAAAAAAAAAACCCAGAGCAAAAACCAAGATAGAGATTCATCCTTTTCTTTTAATTACTGGACAGAGTAATGTGATTTTATAAATTGTATTATGTATTTGCTTGATGAATATGCCATAAAACGTTTGATTTCATAGCAAACACATTTCATGTGTCATTGTGATTTAGAATTGCTGAAATTTAATGAAATAGACTATGCAGAAGAGGGGAAAACAGGCAAGGCAGTTTTTTGCAACAGTTTTTTGGAAAATAAATAATGTGAGGATGAATTGTTTACAAGTGCTACCAGTATATTCTCTTGCATATTGGCCAAATGTAAATAATGAATATTAAAGTATTTTGTATACTGAATGCTCTTTGAGATATAAAGTACTATCATTATTGCATTTTGAGATTTCTATTCTCAGTTCATCTTTATCACTGTGACAAATGATAAAACCCACAGCAAGATAGATTTCTAATTGGGGCTTAACCATCATTTGAAATGTACGAGAGTCACAGAGGGAAAATATTATAAAAATGCTAAATTCT